CAGCACGCTCTTTTTACTTGCACCTACAGTCTTTTCAGATAGCTTCCTAAGAAAATAGCCAGTCGTTGCAGCGTCTAAGGCCTACCTGACTTTTTGATCGACCTTCCAACCCTCCACACTCATTCAATCCTTGCAAACATGGCCGCCGCCGCTATCAAAGTCATCGGTCTCATGTTTGGAATCCTGTCCGAGGCACCCATGCTTGGATCAATGTTACCCGACAAGACCGACCGACAGACAGTTATTAGAATCGGCGTCGGGACCAGCATCAACGCGGAGGGCAACACTGGTAGCCCCCCCCCCCCCCCCCCCCCCACAAAAAAAAAAAACAAAAAAAAAAAAAAAAAAAAAAAAAAAAAAAAAAAAAAAAAAAAAAAGAAAAAAAAAAAAAAAAAAAAAAAAAAAAAAAAAAAAAAAAAAAAAAAAAAAAAAAAAAAAAAAAAAAAAAAAAAAAAAAAAAAAAAAAAAAAAAAAAAAAAAAAAAAAAAAAAAAAAAAAAAACCAACCAACAAAAAAAAAAAACAACCCACCCCCCCCCCCCCCCCCCCCCCCCCCCCCCCTCCAAACTTCTGACTTCCCCATCTAACCCCCACAGGCGGCGACACTCCTGGCATCCGTCTCTTCGACGTGATGGGCCGCGCACTCGGCTCCAAGCGCGGCAGCAAATCCAACATCGCAGACGGCGGCTACAAAGACATCCGGGTGACCGCGAGCCGGGCCCACCAAGGCCGACAAGCGCAATACATCTTAGTATCCAAGGGCGGCAACGACGCCCTATGCATCTCCTACATCGCAGTCACCTGGCCCGACGGCCAGAGAAAGCGTGGTACGGCGACGTGGGGTACACATGCGGAGGCCACTGGTACAACTCGCAGACCATCATCGGCGACACGAACTACCAGCCGAAGTGCGTGTGGATCGATGGAGACGCGTCGAACGGCATCGCGACCCAGGGGCTGGGGATCCACGTGACGGATTTCACAGCGACGCCGGAGCGCGCCGCGGCGTACAAGGAGGACCCGGAGACCATGTGCAAGAGCAGGCCGCGATTCCATCTGTACGATGAGCTGGATACCGACATGTACCTGCCGTTCTTCGACCCGCCGCTGGAGTACGACGAGAATAGTGTCGATAGGGACAGGAGTAAGGTGCTCGTGGACGGGTCTTCGACAGGCCCGCTGCCGCCGCGCAAGCGCTCTGTCGAACAGCGGGGGACTGCGCTTACGCGCCGACACCATTTCCCCGGCAGGCTAGTGACGAGCGCGCAGCGGGCGCATAGTGCGCGCGAGCTGTGCAGGAGCGAGACGTCGCTGGGCCCGGATTTTGTGTCTGTGTATGAGGGGCTGTTTTGCGATATGTCGGAGAAGGAACTGTGGCCGCTGTGCGATGAGATGCATCTGACAGGCTGTTTTGATGTGGAGAGTAACAGTATGGTTGCTGGGTCTTTGTCGCGTAGGGATGAGGCGTCTGGGCGCCACGTTCCTGAGAAGGAGTACAATGATGTGCAGGTGTGGTGAACGGGGGTGATTGTTGATTAACTTCCTTTTTGTCTCGTTTTGTGGTGGCAGTTGGCTGTCCAAAGCTCGGTGCGCTTTGGCTCGGATTCCACTGTATTGTCGCGATGTAGCATGTCTGACTCTTTGTGCATTGTTAGCTTCGTGCGTTACCTTGTATTAGATTTGTTCTCCTTGCGAATATTCGAGACAGATGCGTTCAGGAGGTGCAAGGCACATGTTGACAACGCCTTCTCATGTGTGAGATCAAATCTAGAAGGAATTGACAGTGAGTACGCTTTTCGAACAGGAAACCCGAACAGCTGCGAACGTCGATGACTGATCAGAGAGCTGTTGCTTGACTATTAATCACCCTTTTTCGACTACAAATCACCCTGGTGTTCCTTGCCGCGACTTCCTCGATGGGGTACTAACGGCTTGCGCTTGAATGCTGACCTACTCCTCATAACTCCGTCAGCCCTCCTCAAGTCGCATCATCCTCGCGCTCCCTGTCCCTGCCCGAGAAAGCCTCTCAGGGCATCCTCGACATCACGCTCGTCAAACTCTCCCTGCGCATGTCCTGTCGGTACCGGCCTACCACCCTGCAGTTGGTGTGAAAACGCCATCTGCTCCTGCTGCCGAGGAGGAGGAACGCACGACTGATGAACGTCCTTTCCCTGTTTCGCATGTTGATTGAGCTGCGCGTCAGGAGGTGGGCCGCTTCCAATGCCTTTTCTTCCGGTGGCATAAGAAAGTGCGGCATTAGTGGCAGCCATATTTTGGTTCATACCAGCCGCCTTCTCGCGGTCGCGCCTCTTCTGCTGCACCAGTGTGCCCTTTACGCCGCGGAGGTACTTGACTGCGAGGTCAATGAGTTCTTTCTTCTCGGGTGAGTTCTTAAGCGCCTGCAGCATCTCGCGACCTGTGTCTCGGATTTGATGTGGGGGCAGGTGCGACTGTAGCCATAGTGCGCCAGCCCACAAAGTCCGCAGTGCTCGACCACCAGCCACTTTAAGCTCAACAAGCACCGGAAGGATGGGACTTGTGGCATGCAGGACAAATGCGGAGGGTGTGCGGTTGGGTCGGATCGAAGGGGTTCCGAATAGGGATATGCGCGCCGGGACAAAAGGCTTGAACTGATGACGTAGTGTTAGCTTCGGGGAAGCTGGAGGTGAGATCAATGAGATGACTGTTGGCTCTTTCGCAACTTTCTTTGGAGCGCGATCGACTGCGGAAGGTTTGTCTGTAAGTTTCGATGAAGAAATTGTGGGCTTACCACTGCTCTTTGGTTTGGCCGGTTTGGCTGGACTGCGTTTCGGTGGCGTAGGAGCGGAGACGACAGCTGTAGGCTGGCCCGGAACACGAAGCTGGTCTTCACCTGTTGGTCGCGGTGGAAGCTGACGGGCAAGACTGCCGATGCCGCGCTGTTGAGTCGAATCTGCGAGCTCTTGTTGCACATTACCTTCCGGATCCTCCACTTCGACCTCGGTATCCTCATCCGAGTCAACTTGGAAGTCAGTGTCGCTTCCTGAGTCGGAACGCTTCTGCTTCTTTTTCTTGTTGACCTTGACAGGCGATGGAGGCTCAGCATCTTCTTCGCTGTCATCAGCAGCAGCTTTGGCTTTCTCTTGCTCGGTCATGTAGTCGACATTCTATGATGTGTCAGTATGAGTGATAGCATATTGTGATGAGTACTTACGACTCGAGCGCGCTTGCCTCTGCCCAAAGCATGCGCCCGAGCAAGCGCTTCAGCGGCAGCTTGTGCTTGGCGTTCCTTCAGGATCTTGTCCCACACACCTGGGTCAGGAGCTGTCTCCACTTCAGCGATGTCGAGATTGTCTTGTAGCGAACCTGTGTCATTGGCCCCAAACACGTGCGAAGCTGAACTGCGACTCCGCTGAGTCGTCGCCAGGGGCAGCGCGAGTGTTCTCGATCTGGCTGCGATCGAGCAACTTCTCGACAGATGCATCGTCGTAACGGATATCATGGTCTGCAGTATCGTCTTTGAAGAGCTCAGCGGCGCCATACTTGAGAATTGACTCAACATCTTGTTCTTCATCTTCATCAGCGTCCAGCTGCTCTACGACAACGTGGTCGAGAGCCATCTTCTTGCGACCCATTTGCACGATCTTCTCCTCCACGGAAGATCGGGTCAGAAGTTGGAAGCATAGCACCTTGTTCTTCTGACCGATACGGTGAGCTCGTGCAATGGCCTGTAGATCTTGATGAGGGTTGAAGTCAGGATCGAGGATGATGACAGTATCGGCGGGTCGCAAGGTTGATGCCAACACCACCTGCGCGCGTCGAGAGCAGGAACGCGAAAAGAGGCGAATCAGGTGCATTAAACTGATCGATGCGCTTCTGCTTCTCGAGCGACCCCATGGTGCCGTCAAGACGTTGATACGACATCTCCATACCATCTAGAAAGTCTTCGATAATGTTGAGCATATCGAGGAACTGGCTGAAGATCAACACTCGATGGCCACGCTCTTTAAGTTTTGGCAGTAGGGTTTCTAGCAGACCAAGCTTCGCAGACGCTTCGACGAGATTGCGGTGAGAGACGGCGGCTACATCCGTTCGCTCCTCAATCTCACGGCTGTAGACGAAAGGATGACACAGGCACTTGCGCAGCTGCATCAAGATGTTGCTCAGATTGGCACGCTCTTGCTGCTTGAGAGATTTGTCTGAGGTGAAAAGAGCCTTCAGCAGTTCAGGGCTCTTGGACAAGATTGACTTGTAAACCTGCTTCTGCAAGTGACTCATGGAAATTGGCAAGATAATCTGACCAAGAGGAGGGAGAAAGGTCAGGACCTGAGCTTTAGTGCGGCGGAGGATGTATGGTCGAATCTGTTCATGCAGCTCTTTGATGTTCTCAGATGTCATCTCGGCGTACTTCTCCTCGAGTTCAGCAGCATTAATATTTTCGTCCAGGAATTGAAGTAGGTTGAACAGCTCTCGTGCGTTGTTCTGAAGGGGTGTACCGGTCATGAGCAACCTGAAGGGCGCTTTGACTGCCGAGAGCGCAGTATAGAGCTGGCTCTTGTCGTTCTTCAGGCGTTGCCCCTCATCCGTGATCAATCCGGCCCAGTTGACGCCTCGCAGGAATCTCCTGCTGCTGTCGTCTGACGCGGTCTCGTATGAGGTCACAACAATGTGACAACGAAGGTCCTTTGTTCCCTCAGGATACATCTCGTACTTGTACGCCATCTCACGAGCTTTACTAGAACCGAAGTAGGCCACGACGCGCAAGGATGGGGCCCACTGCTTGATCTCGCGACGCCAATTGGCGCAAGTAGAGTTGGGCACCACAATGATGAACGGAAAGCAATTGTGTTCCTGAACCAAGGTGGCCATGAACCCAATGACCTGGATGGTCTTTCCGAGACCCATTTCATCAGCGAGGATTCCATTCTTCTGGTTGTACCACTGATAATATAGCCAGTTCAGACCCTCCATCTGATACTTCATCAGCTCGCCTCCGACGAGGTTCTCCGGCTGAGCTTCCCTCTCTAGTTTGGCGAACGCAGTATTTCGGACTTTCTCAAGGCGAGCCCTGAGCGGACCTTGCTTGGGTACCTTGATGTATCGTCCCGCAACCCAATCGTTGTATGCAGTGACAAAGTCGAGCCAACGGTCTCCGTCCTCGGACGTTGGAACCTTCTCCCAGACAGCATCCTCATATCCGAGGCCCTTGTACTTGATGAGAGCTTTGTCAACCTCTTTAATACGTGCCTTGTCGATCTCCTCGGATCGGATTTCGACATAACTGGTGAACTTGATGTCCAAAACGATGTCAATGCGCAGGTACTCTTCAGGTATCGCATCTTCAGTACGCATCTTCGGTCCATCTTCTTTCTTGAAGAAGGCCCTGCGCATAGCAGTTGCGCTGACGCCCCATGTCCAAGCTCCGGAGAACCAGGCAGCGCGGAAGTACGACTGGTTTTCCCACTTAATGAGATACTGCTTGTCGTCTTCATTGACGAGCTCACATGGGGTGCCAGGCTGATACGCTTCGACGTCTGATGGGCGCCAAGCAACAAGACCTCCGACTTTTTTATCGCCAGTGTTGTCGCACTCTTTGCACATCCACTTGTTCGAGTACTCACGGAAGCGTTCGTCTGCCAGCTCCTGATCGTCGCGGTTCACGTCTATCGCGTATGGTGACAAAGGCGGCAAGTGGTGGTAATGCCATGCTCGCGAACACTTTGTGCAGCGGAACAGAACATTGTGAGGATTATTGACGAGCTCGGAGGGAACGTCAGTTATGGGATCGTCACCGTCGTTGTCTTCACGGTCCTTCATCTCTTGCATAGTGGTCTTCCGGTGCCTGAATGGTTTGCAGGAATCGCCGGTTTTGCCGCAATCCTGGCATTTGGATAGATTAGGCGCAAAACGATCCTTCTTTTGGTAGACATTCACACATCGCTTGCATTGTAAGATGAATTGCTCATCGCCAACTTTGGTAACAAGATGCTCGCGGGAGCTTCTGGTACCCAAACAATTCTTGTGGTATGCTAGGGAGCAGCCCTGGCAGTAAACAAGCGGAGCAACATTGGGGCCATCGTAGCACACCTCGCAGCCTTCAACGTGTCGAGAGCGGAAGAGGTCGCCACGAGGGCGCGTCTCGAAAACCTCTCGAACAGCCTTGACCTGCGGTGCAGAGGGCTTTGGCGCCGAGTCCGAGCGATAGATGTCGTGTTCCCCCGCTTCCTCCATGTTGTTTGTTGCACGCGTCGATCGTTCAGACTGGCGCGCACCAATACGCCGGACCTTTTCTGGTTTGGATGCGCGAAAGCCCCGCCTCTTGCGCTTACCACCAGGGAATATGTTCGAACGCAGTATGTCATCGGAGTCGCTGGTCTCTTCATCGTCCTCGCTTTCCTCATCATCGAAGTTTCGAACTGGCACCGGTTGTCGTGTAGATCGTCGCGTAGGCTCCTGGACCTTCTTGCGTCGCCTGCGCTGCTTGCCCGATTCTTCACTATCTTCATCGCTGCTTGTAAGTTCAATAGGGTCGCTCAGGTCTGATCGATTCCGCAACGAGCGCGAACCATTCTTGTCACTCTTGACTGGTCTACCAACACGGCTTTTGCGTCGTTTCATGTTTGAAACGAGCTTGTCGTCGTTCATGTCATTGTCCTCTGACGAGGAAATGTCGATTGTAGTAATATCCACAAAGCCATCATTGTTTGCTTTGGAGGTCCTTCCGCGGAGCCTCATGTCGTCGGCACTTGTGGAGGTGGCGTCTTCGGGCTCGTGATTGTTCAGCGCAGCTGGGCCACCGGGAAGTTCGAGGAGCTCCTCAAAGTTGATCTGGCGTCGTGTTAGAGTCGTCAAACTGTGAAGTCTTGGTGGAGAGAAGGAGAGGACGGAGAGGAGCTTGATTGGCGTCCAATAGACACGCTTTGAGCCGCAGCGATCCAGCAGCCACTCTCTCACTTATAGTGGAAAGCTCTCTCACTCGTTCCTTCAATCGCTGGGTGGTAGCTGCCTCACTTACCTCCTTTGTCTCACCACTAACAAGCTTGACATCATATATGATATCACCCTTCCTTGATGTACGCTCCAGCACGATGCTTTCGACCTCATCTCGCGGTTCATAATATGTATATTCGCTCCTGTTGCGGACAGGGCTTGTTCGAACATGTAACACCCTCTGGATCTTGGACGGCGGCGACTCAGCGTTGATCTCGTCCTCATCGGAGCTCGAATCGGTAAACATGTTTTCGACTGCAACCGTGGCACCCTGTTTCGCTGGTAATGTTCGAGCAGGCGAGCGGCGCGGCGTTGAGCGGCCGCGTGTGCTGGCGGGCTTGAGATTATTCGCGCCAGACCTCGTTGCGCCTCCTCTCCTGAACGCTGCCATGAGCTGAGTCGCGTCGTCGTCGGAACTCATGTTGGCGACCCGGAAACACGTGCTGTAACGCGTGAACAGCGGTGATACGAATACGAAGCTCTCGTTGCTGTGTGAGCTCGCGGGACGGTGATTCGATGCGGCGATTCGATGCGGTCGCGATATACAGCTTGGAACTTCGGCGACTATGTGACAGCACCGCGCATTGCAATTGGGCGATTTTAGGGAGGGCAATGACGGCAACGCACCTGGCGAGCTCGACTTGAATGTCATCGGACAGTGGTTGTGGACCCCGACGCGTGATAGCGCGATTACGCTAACTCCGGCGGGCCGTTCATCGCCAAAAGTTGGTGAAAGCTCAGATGCGCGTGAAAGTGAACTTCTTCACGGACCAGGGCAGACTTCGCCCCAAACCCCATTTCAGCCATACAAACTTCGATGCTGTCTTCTCTACTGCTCAGCGGTGCGCTACTACGGACCCAGCGAAGTGCCCTCCCCCGCACTTTCTGTCGCTACAAATCCATCACCGCTGCCATCGAGAAGGGCCGGGGCAGTGGGCCGGACAGGTTTTCACCATCACGTTCAGGCGGTCGCTCACGCTTCGGAGACGACCGTGCGACATCACCGCGCTACGAGGAGAGAGATAGCGGCCGTACACGGCCGTCACGAAGCAAGTCTTCAATCGGAGCAAGGCGCAGGCGATGGGAGGATGAAGACGCTCCGCCCAGGCGGAAAGAGTTGAGGAAAAGCGGTGGGAGGTCAGACGAGTCGGCTGTCGACCGACGCATGAGGGAGCAGGATCGCGACGGCCCGAAGCGCTTCGAGGGCCGAGCACAACGACCAGACAGATTCGCTGGCCGGTCTGGCGGTCGAGACACGCGGACTGAGCGAAGAGACGCACCACGACGCAGCCGTGAGGACTTCGAGCGTAGCGATAGGCCAGATCGAAGGACAGAGAAGACATTCGACCGCAGCGACAAGCCTCAACGTGGGGCTGAGAGAACATTCGACCGTGGGGACAGACAGCAACGCAGGTCGGAGAATGGCGACGATAGGCCGCCGCGCAGGGAGAGGTCATTCGATGGTGATGATAAACCACAGCGCAGGACAGAGCGAACATTCGACCGTGGCGACAGGCCCCAACGCGACACAGAAAGAACATTTGACCGTGACGACAGACCTCAACGTCGATCGGAGAGGACATTCGATCGCGATGACAGACGCTCCTCTCGTAATGACCGTGACGACCGACCCTCTCCTCGCAACGATCGCGACAGCAGAACCTCTCAATCAGACCGCTCAGAACGGTCCTCCATACCCTCCCGCGCATCCCCTTACGACCGCTCCCCTGACTCGCTGCCGTACAGCACTGCCGCCTCTGAGTTCATCTACGGCTACTCCTCCGTCCTCGCCGCCATCCGCGCCAATCGTCGCCAGTTCTACAAGCTCTACGTCAACTCGCGCGGCCTGAACCGCGACATCCTGCTCGCGCGCGCCAAGGCATCCAATCTACGCCAAATCACGCGCGAAGTCGGCGACGACTACGACCGGGCCTTCGACAAAGCCTCCTCGGGGCGTCCGCACAACGGCTTCATTCTCGAAGCCTCGCCCCTGCCCGTCCAACCCATCACCGAGCTCAAAGAATGCACACGCGAAGCCGGCACCTTTGACGTCGTCCTCGACCACCAGACCAAAGAAGAACTTGCCGTGAATGGCTCCCGCACATCCTACTCCTACAAGTCATCCACCTGGCGCCACCCTCTCATCCTCTTCCTCGACGGCATCCTCGACGAAGGCAACCTCGGCGCCATCGCGCGCTCTGCGTACTTCCTCGGCGCTGAGGCCATCGTCACACCCGCCCGCCAGTCCGCACCCTGGTCGCACATCGCCGTGAAAGCCAGCGCGGGCGCCGCCGAAGCGGTGCCTATCTTCCGCGTTTCTGAGCCCGCAGACTTCCTCGGCAAGTCCAGCAGGAATGGCTGGCGCTGCTATGCCGCTGACGCCGTCCCTACCGCCAATGATGCGCAGGACGGCACGAGCGATGTCGTGTATACGCAGGCGCGCGCTTCGGACCCCAAGCCTATCCCAGACCACAGTCCTGTCGCACAACACCCCACGATTCTCATGTTGGGCGCCGAAGCTACTGGCTTGAAGACTAGTTTGCTGAAGATCGCGCACTACAACGTCGGGATCAAGCATGGCAGGGAGGTCGACGAGGTCGGAGTTGATTCGCTGAACGTTAGTGTGGCGGCGAGTTTGCTGTGCCACGATATACTGAGAAAGAAGCCTGTCGTCGAGCGGGACCCCGAGAACGTAGTCTTCTGAGACCGCAGTCTTCTGAGGGGTTTGTATGATACTTCGTAGTTGTATACCAGATTCCATATACTCGCATGTACCGCCTTCTAGAACGGGCGCGTGCACATGAGTATGAAAATGTACATGTTGAGACGTTGATGCGTCGACTCAAAAACGCGCTGGTGCTGTACATGTTGTGCACGTGACTGGTGTCCTTCGACATATATATGGCCGCCACCCTCCCTTCAACATACAACACACCCTCGCCCACCAGCGTCCTCCCACATCGAAATTTTGAATGGCTTGTTCTGCTCCTTCCTCGAAAATGCTCAAGAACAAACACGCCTGCGATATGCAACCTCTCTGCCCTCCCGCCACACACGTTCGAAATCTAACCCTTCGCCTGCTCATGTCTGTCCTTCTCTGCGGTGGGGTACCGAGATCAGAGCCTCATTCATCGCATGTTGTTCTGGCGGTTGCGCCTGTGACGCTGAAGTCAAAATCGCCATTGAAGATAGCATGGCTCGGCTTCTCTTCCTGCACCTGAGTCTATTATCACGAAGCTAATCACACTATGCCGCCTCTGAACCGAAATGCCATACCGACTGAGGAATGTTTCTCTTCTAGCACCTGAGTCTGTTTTAAAAAGGTAACCCAGACCCGTGGAATGTTGTTTGCCTCCTCTGAACCGAAACCACAGCGAGTGGGTTGAATGGTTCTCTTCTGGTACCTAAGTCTGTCATTACAATTCAAATTGAAGCGCGCAAATGTTTCCTGCCTTCTCTGAACCAAAAGCCGCCCCAGAGTTTGTCATGTGAAAAGCGGGTTTCCTTGCTGCCTGTTCTCTGCCTCCTCTAAGCCGAAAACATGACAACACCAGTCCATGGTTCTCTTCTAGCATCGGAGTCTGCAATAACAACCTGAAACAAAACTTTCTGATGTTTTCTGTCTCCTCTGGACCAAACAGACATAGATTTCATGCTGGGAAGAGTCTGGAGACTGTGTGATATCTGAACAAAGTCCCCTTTAAGAAATGATGTTGCGGCTGTATAAATGGGTGAAAGATGTCCAACATGCTTCTCTTACAGCACCTGCGTCTGCCACACAAATTGGGCTCTTCTTCTAGCATTCTTTCTGCTTTCTCTTGAACAAATGAGGAAACAGAGATGTAACGTTGGGTGAGCAGTTTGGAGACTTTCAGGAACTTAAACTCACGTTCAAAGAATATATGCTGCGGTTGTGCAAAATATGCTCGCGTTTGAGATATAGTTCCCTTCCAACCTCTGGGTCTGTTAGTAAAAGTTCTCCCGCAAGCTCTGGATGCTGTCTGCCCCCTCTGGACCGAAATTGAAAACCCACCCGGGTATGTTGGGAGCGTGGAGACTGTGGGTGCCAACACACTTCCCCTCCAACTCACGCTGTCTCGGCTGCACTAAAAAGTCTCAAAATCCGATGTATACTTCTCTTTTTGCACCTAAGTCTGCTACTACGAGTACCAATATGGGTCGTGCCACCATTTTCTCAACCTTCTATGAATCGAACTACTACCACGAAAGAGACATGCTGGGGTGTCTTGGAGGCCGCCCGAGTATCTGAATACATGTTCCCCCATTACACGCTACTATGGCTCTACAGAAGTGTTTGTAATTGAAACACGCTTCTCTCCCTAGCATCAGTATCTGAGTCTGCCATTACAAAGTTCAGAGCTTTTCGTCCATGTGTTCCCTGTCTTCCTCTGAACTGAAATTGAATATGAGCTCGATGATGTTGCGTTGGAAAAGTCCGGAGACCAGTCAAGGCATCTACCCTCTCAAGATGGTGTAGCGGCTGTACAAAAGGTGCCTGTAATTGAAGTAGCTCTCCCCAGCATCTAAGTCACTGCTGCCACAAATTCAAACCTGCCAGCACATATGTCCTCTGTCTTTCTCTGAATTGAAAACTGATTCCGATTCCGCGCACGCTAGAGACTCGCGGGGAATCTAAATCCATGCCCTTCTATCATATGTCGTCGCGGCTGGACGGAGCCTTGAAATAGTCGTGACGTGCTTATCTCACCGAAATTTGAGTCACTACCATTGAATAATCAAGATCTGGCGGGAATGTTCTCTGACTTCCTCTGAACCGAAAACTCAATTCAAGTCTGAGAGTGTCTGGGAAATGAGTGTCGAAATCGTGGGGTGTCGAAATCAAATTCCTATTTGCTACATGTTGTTGTGACTGTTCAAAATTACAATATCACCGCCGCATGTTTATCTTCCCAACACCCGAGCCTACTACCGTGAGAAAGACGACAGAATTACTCTTATGTTCTCTCCCTCTGAACCGAAATCCAGACGCAAAGATGATGTGCGACGGACTCGGTGCTTGAAAACTGATGTCTTCTGGCTTCTCTGAACTGAAATCTAAGGACTTGACAATATTGTTGTGTTGGTAGCGGGGCTTTCAGGCCTTCAAAGTACCCCAATATCCTCTCAAGTGATTGAAATTGTTCGAAATCCCCTATCAGCTTGACCAATGTCTGTCTCCCCAGTACCAACGCTATTACTCCAGAAATGAATATATTGCACTGCGATGTTCTCTGCCTCTCCCGAACTAAAGAACAGACGTGGTTCAGATTGATGGGAGATTAGTGCTTCAATAATTTCTGCCCTCTTCTAAATCAAAAGACAGACATTTTCAAGTTATGGCGGAAGAAGATTTTGCAGACTGGTAGGGTACCTAAATCCTTTTCCATTCAATACATGTTATCTGAAACGCCCTAGAAATTCGGCACATACTTCTCTCCTCAGCGCTATAGCTGTCACTACAAAGTCGATACCGTCTATAAATGTTATCTGCTGCCTCGAAAACATAGTAATCCAACGGTATGTGTTATGGACCTACTGCCCTGAGGTGGATGCCCTCTCCTGTCCTTCTCTGGACTGAAATGGAGATCCAATGAAACCATGTCAGGAGAACAGTCTAGAAACTGGCGGGAACTTCAAATAACAGTATGCATCACCCCATGTTGTGATTGTTGTGTCTGTGGTTCGAAGTTAAGACTGACGCTGAGATGTCCGCATGGTTTACTTCCTAATACCTGAATCTTCTATTTTTACAGCAGTGAAGTAACACATCCATACTTTCTGCTTCCTCATAGCTGAAAAAAAAAAGGCCAAAGAGACAAAATGTCGGGAGACGTTTGGAGACCGGTGAGGGTACCTAATATTGGTTCTTCATTTCCCATGTTGGTGCGGCCGTTCTGCCTGTGCCTCGGAGTTGAAATAGTGCTCGAGGTTGATGCAGGCCTGCTTTCCGGCACTTGACCTAATGAAGGGCGCTCACGTTCTGCCGCCTCTGGACTGAAATCGTGGTGTAAGAATACAATGGCTCTCTTTGTAGCAACCAAACTTCTATGTTGTGCGCCTATTCTAAACTGAAAGATATCTGTCTCTAGTCCACGTTTTTATGTCTAGCACCTGAGTTCTATATCATTTTCACGAAAGATAAATCACGCCCCCTAACATCTATGTTGTCTTTCTTCTCAGCACCTGATTAGTTGTCATGATATCAGCAACCGTTATTGGTTGTTGACTGAGGAAGTTAGTCCACTGTTTGAGCGGATCAGAACATGGTCAACATGAAGGAGTTCAATGGATCAAAACAGCCAATCGGAAGAACACAAGGGATTGGTCTAAAAAGCGACTAGCGCATGGGATCGGATGAAGTATGAGTAACCACCTTTTCGATAGATACCTTGATAGATGGAAATTTATCACTCATTCTCGCACCTGATCAGCTTTTCAAGTCTTCTAGCTTTCTACAATAGTCTCATGCTTTGCTTGTATCTATAATATGATGTAAACAAGATATGTCGACTTTACATTATACACGATCCAACATGAAATTTGATTGTGCAAGTCGGTCTGTGCCTATAATCGCTACACCCCTAATCGTTCGAAGCTTACACAAGTGTGCAAGGCCGTTCGTTTAGGCAGTCAAACAAGCAACACAACATCTAGGTTGGAATCTGATTCTGCTTCTGGGCCTCAAGAATACCCTCGTAACTAAAGAGAAAATCATACTTGGCCATCCTCTCTTCCCAACTGACTTCGCGGGCCATACCGCGGGTGTCTTCTAGGACCTTCGTTGCTCGGGGTCTCCTCAGACTATCAATATGCTTCAGAGCTTTCGGAACATCTTCGGATTTCACTCCTCTAAGCAGAAGAAAGCTCTCGGCATCTTCGATAGACTGGTTGGCGCCTTGACCTTGCAGCGGCGTCATCGCGTGGGCGGCATCTCCAATGACAATTGCACGGCCACGAGTCCACGTAGGTAGAGGATCAAGATCCTGTAGTTCCCAATATTTCACTTCCGTGGAGACACTGGAGATATCAGCAAAGTGAACTTCCTTGAAGGGAAAAAGATAGCAGTACCCAAGAATCTTGCGGAAAGACTCGTCAAAATCATGGAAGATCTCTATGATCTCGTCGCTATCAGCCTCCGCAAACCAGGAATTGGCCCTGCTTTGCTTCGACTCTCGGGAAGGGAAGATACATGAGAAGTTCATGTACTCTTGATGACGAAGTGGATACACGACAACGAAGCGGTCGGTACCATCACCGGATTCGAGCACGCACACCCGATTCTGAGCCGTGGTAGGTTCCCACCAGTGAGGAAGAGAGCCCAGTGCTTCTTTTACAGCCTCCGTAGAGGCTGCAACGCGGTAACACGTTAATCCCATCTTTTGGGCCTTGATAGTATCGTCGCCAAGAATATGTTTGCGAAGACGTGAGTGTACGCCGTCAGCCACTGAGCTGTCATTAGCATCTTTTTGGAGGCAATGCGAACCTTGCCGAGTGGTAATACTAACCAATGACGACGTCAGCCTCAGCAGTCGTTCCATTACTCAACACGACACTACCCTTCTCTGTATCTATATCGACAACACCAGTCTCATAAACAATCTTTGCTGGGTTGCCCTGAATCTTCAACTCGGTTGAGGACTCAGTTGCGAGTCTTGTGAGCTCGCTCACAAAGTCGGACCGTCTTTGGGTAAGTTGATCTGCTCCATACCTGGTTTTCAAGTCGGCCTCATGATCCTTCTTGACATTTCCGTCTTTGTCGTAAGATCGGAAGCCATAGATTGGCACCGCGCCCGCTTTATTACGATCATATCCAATGCGTTCGAGGATCTTGACTGCATTCGGAGAGATGGAGATGCCTTGTCCTCCTGTCGCAGCTGATTTGTGTGCACGTTCGTACACAGTGACATCGTGATGTTCTCTGAGAATGCGTGCGGCAGTCAGTCCTGCTAATCCCGAACCGACAATAATAACTCGAAGTTTGTTCTGGTTGTCCATATCTTAGGTGATGCTGGTGAAAACACGAAGTGGATAGAAGTGCTATGGGGATGAACGAGGATGTATGGATCTTCCAAGCTGCATTAATACTTATTAACAGACGCCAAGAGGACCCCAATTAAGCATTTCTCAGCAGCAAGTCCAGAGTGCTTATTCGTAACTATCGGTTTGAGAAGTCGGAGAAGGGGGCATCGGCTCCGAGAACGGGGAACGCGGAGAAAGCGGAGATGGTGGAGGAGTAGTTATTAGCACCGAAAAACACGTTGTTTATGAGCTGTGCACATATTGTGCTAGGCAGTTTTCGAGCTTATCGCGACTGGTACACTAGCAGAGTATGATAGGGTGGTCAGTCATCACACGCTCGATATGTAATCGCCAACCCATCTCGGTTTTTACGCCAAACATGCAACACACAGATATCGCCCAATATATGGATTGTGACTAATGCTCTAACCCTAGACTTTCACCCCATCTCGAGTTCTCTTTCCAGCCTTAATTTAGCTATGATTTCTTCCAAAGAGTGCATCTTACTATGTCTTTTCCTAACAGCTTCCCAAGCCGATCAACATGGCGTTGAGTAGGACTTCGTCTTACAACAAGATTCTTCGGTCAACGAACAGAGAGCTCAAGGCCAGTAATCAGCATAACTATAGTAATGGAGTATCAGTTGTCAGGCGTCGAAAAGGTAGTGATATCAACACCATTCAGCCACAACACCAAGCTTGCAAGATTTATAACACGAAGAAGATTGTCTCTATTCAGCAAAGGCTTGGCTTTGCAGCTCGCAGAGAATTGACTACGATCTCATAGTTAGACAGTCCGAAAACTATTCAAACAACTTTTTTTCTCCAAAACCTCCCTGGAGGCTCCACCCTTTGACCTCGCCGTGTAAATCTCCAATACTCTCATCCATCTTATGCACATCTAGCTCTATTCGCTTCACCACATCGTTGCTAACCACGCCACTAAATGTATGTATCACTACCCACGACGGTAATTCGTGCTGCTTCTCCAACTCACTACCCTCCTGCTTCTTGCCCCCTGCACTAGCAAACGAGGAACAACTCTCGAAAACAAGGCTACGGGTGTAACCCGACTCTTCATTCAGCGTGTTTATCTGCTTGTCGAAGAAAGCATTTATTTCATCTGCCTCGAGGCCTGTGGGCGGCTGAATTTCGACTGTCACGATGCTCTTTGCTACCTTTTCTGCATGGCATTAATGTTAAAAACTGACGATAGTCAAGGATCGAAGAACGCACCACCATTCCCCTTTTTGCTCATTGTACTCTGTCTTAAAGCCAAACGGTTGACATCAACTCACCCAGCTCATACACGTTACCCGTGCCAGGCAAAATTGTGCTTATCGGACTGATACTCTTGAATTCGTCGGACAACAAGAAGCCAGTATCGTCCAAAACAGGAAATGTCAGGAAGGGCTTCGATGCATCGGATGCGCTAGTTTACTAATCGCATTATAAACTAATACGTAATTTGTTAATATTTGTTATCAATTCGTGGGTGGATTGATGCTTGACCGGAACAAGGAATGAATGCCAGATTTCGTCCACAACTCCTCGGCGTGGTCTCGTACCATCTCATGATGTGGCTTCGGAGAGAATATCTTTTGCTGATGGAGCGACGCGAGAGCGAACATAGAAGAGACCCGGGCCTTTGGAGCTGTTGTGTGGCGGAGGCATGTTCATGAGACATCTTGAACTTTCTGTAAAGCTGTGTTAAAGTATCACTTTTGAGTCGTTGCGTGTATACAGAGTCCTTTGTTTAGATCTAGTTATGTTCTGCGAAATCTGTAGATTAATATTGAAACGTGGAAATCAACTAGCGGAGTTGCCAACACGGAGAACGAGGGGAACGTTCGGGTCCGATATCTTAGCCGGCCGCAAACAACTAATCATTCCTCCCATTAAGAGCAGGCAGTCCGAACAACATTACAAATCTCCGACATACCTCCTCTTTTGCACTTTCGTTCATGGCTTGACCTAATTTCTAGCTTACGCACTCAGAAAAGCATTAGATTCAAAGCCTCATTATCCGCTTCCTAGTCCTTGATTTCATTCATCAGAGCGATCCACCACGTCCATAAATGACCGAGAGCACGGCCCCAAAAGCTCACCCTATGACTCCCTCTGCCATCTTGTCGGAAAAGTCTTCGCCATCACCAGCTGGGCGGTGGGCATCGGGTACGCCACCGCTTGGCTGCTCGTTTCGTAGGACGCAAAAGTAGCCCACTACAAACGTCAGTACCACCACCCTACAAAGCGTTTAACTCCTTTTGTAGCGCTGCAAGTACTGCGGAGAAATCACCTGCATTGGAGTCGGTATGCGCAAACGTGTCAAGGTGGAGAGCCCGAAGGACTACCAAGGAAGAAGACGTAGCGAAGCCTGCACATATTACTCATTTTCTCTATCTGGCACTACGGTACAAAATCGTGTAAAGAACCCCGGACCGCGCGCGTTTTTAACAACACAGTTTGGTGTTATTTAAATAGAAGGAAATGTCTTTTCACCCGATGCGGTGTCTTTTACACAGCATAAAGTCCCTTTTTAGTTAAGAAAAATACCGCACTTGTACCTCAGTGTAGTATTAACGTACCCCACGGATGAGTTGGATTGGTATCATGATGAAGAAATCAGAGTACTAACGTTAAGTTGTCTGCCTTCTCTAAGCTGGAAAAAGGTAATCTGCAA